CTCTTCTTCTTCGTCGTGGTCTTCTCTGCAGGTGCGCGGCGGGTTCTCCAAACTTCAGGTCCGCTACGGCGGACTATGACTCTCGGCGGCCACCTCTGCTATGGCGCGTCAGGCCCTGCACACGACGGCGCCCATGGAATAGCGGGTAGCAGCTCTGATACCAATGCAATCAGACTCATTCTCGTTCACACTCTTCATCCATGTAAACAGTAGCGCAGCAAACTGGCGACATGCACCCACTCAAAACTCAGAGATATGGCATGCAGGTACGAGTTCACTTTCAACTGGCTATGGCGACTTAGCGCCCAAACAACTCACTGTTCACATACACCGGATCACCCTGGATATCCCACACGCGTTACTCTGAACACTCACACACACACATGTTACACACTAACTCTAACTACGGCGGCTATGACCGCCGCTACCCTATCGCTATCTACGCTCCTTCTCTCTCGCCCACTTCAGCTCCGGGCTCACTGCAGACCTCCTTGCAGAAGTCGATGTGGCAGCGCTTCCGCATGGCTCACACAGGAATGAATGAAAGGTTGGGCGCTGCCTCTTGATTTATACTTCTGAAACTCGTTGGTCTGCCCTCTTCCATCGGCCCATGATGCTCACAGTCCCTTGTGGTACTTGTTGGACCTGACTGGGACTGACTGGACCTTACCGCTGACTGAGTGGGGACTCACTGCTAACCTACCACCTTCGTACTGCAATTGCACTGCAGTTTAGTCCACCACTTGACTCACCACTTGCCCACTTGCCCACTTGCTGACCTTCTAGAAGGCTACAGCTAGGACTTCTAGACTTCGCTAAGACTTCTATTTGACAGACCTACAGATCGAACCCCTGCTACCTACGGACCTATGACAGCCTACCAACTGTTTACGAATACACAGGTCACGGGTTCAACACTCGGGGTCTACACAGGTGCTGTACACGGGTGGTGCGAGGTCTAGGGATCGAGCCCTGCGATCTGAATCTGCTACTGCCAAAAGGTGAAAACCGTTTCACCTTCAACGCTGGGGCCTACTTACCGGGGATGCTCTTATCACCTTGGTAAGTAGGCTTTTTCCCCCAACATGTGCGTTGTTTTCCTGTGTCGCTGCTGCTCTGCATGCTCCGAAAAACCTTCAAATCCCGCTGTTTGGGATTACGCACCGGGGGGGTGGTGCTTGCTGCTTGCGGGACGGGATGGGTGGGAGCGTGGAACGTTCCCGCTCCGATACAATTGTAACAGGACAACCATGCAGGCGGTCCCATCACTGTCGAGAAGGGATAGATGAGGTGGAAGGTGGAGATGGCGGAACAGAGAGAAGCAGCACCGCCGTATGCTGAGCATGCAAGAAGGATCCCAAATACAGACTGCAGCTGGGTTATATCCCCAGCGGACTGACTGGACTCGACTGGGCTGGACTGGTGCCGACGGCGGTACCGGATGGGACTGGATTGCATAGACACACAGCCTGTGAGAGCAGGCCAACAGCCTGGTCCCACAGGCCGAATAGACACAGAGCCAAATAGCCCTGGCTGTAGGCCATGGTGAATAGAGGCCCGCTGCAGTCTCTCTCTCTCTCTCTCTCTCTCTCTCTCTCTCTCTCTCTCTCTCTCTCTCTC